GCCGATGACAAATAAAATAACACGAACTTCAAATGTACTTAGCTGAAATACATAAATACATGATTATGCAATAATTAAAAAATCTGATTGAGGAAGATATTAAAATCGACATATAACCATGTAAGCTACTATATGGACTTCGATGTATAATCCCCATCAAAAGGGCCCAATGTACTTTGTCAAGGTACAAAGATTGATATGAGCTTATATGGATCCACTAAGCTAATGTGTATAAAGACTAAGGAGTTGACCTCAACTGATGGAAAGCCCCTTAAATATTGCAGTGACATATAGTTTTGGGACTTAAAGATATCGATCTACTAAAGGTTCGGGGACGCTGACTGGAATCCTCATCCCTAAATCCGTTCAGTGATAAGTAAAACTCCCAATTGAAAATGCAATTAAACTAGAAACAGTAATATCGAGTAGCTCCTAAATCATAATAACTGAAAATTATACTAAGAGATACTTTACCTGAAAGTACCATAAATCATGAAAAACTGATAATCTGAGACATGCATCTGAAACAACATAGCTTAGGGTTATGAAATTACTTATATGATTGGGGTTCATGATATAATCGAGACATGGAATTAAGGGTCATTTATAAAGAAGAACTGATTTACATTTAAAACTCATGAAGATCACAAAAATTCTAGATTCAGAGAATTCATAAGACTTATAAAATCTGAAGTTCTTTGAGACTTAATGGGGGAAGGGATATCCATTGATGAAATCTCACATACCTGAAATGAAGAGCCCTAGCTAGCTTGAATTCCTTGATGGAGTCTTGAAGCTTGGAAACCCTTGTTCTTGCTTAAGACGAAACTTGAGAGAAAAGAGAATTTGATTTGGGGTGTTATGCGTGTAACAGGGGTTTGGGTCTAGTAACAATCTCTTACTCCTACTTTGAATGGTCCAAAACGACGTAGTATAGGGATTAAAAAAATGAAAAAAAGACCCAAACGACTTTGATGAACTATCGAAAGGCATCTACGAGTGCTATCTACGATTCATGTTTTCATTTACGGACCATAGAACCTTGTCCGTAGATATCAGAGTGAAATACTAGGTTTCTAAAGTTTTGATCCACGAGACCCATCTACGGTCTGTGATTCGCATTATGACCCATCATGTCCAATATTAAACTCAGAGGAAAGTCTGAGTTTTAGGACTTAGTTTACGAGCCCTAACTACGACCCGTAGAACCTTTTACAACTCGTAGTCCTTGCTCGTCCTACTCCGGTAAAAATTCAAGTTTCTAAAAATGATCTACGAATCGTGTCTACGATCTGTAAAAGGGTTACATGACATAAAATCAACTCATAAATTTCAGACTTAAATTTTTGTTTATGAAGTTTCATCTGTGGATCCCATGATCCCATCTAAGGCTTGTGGTTCCATTTACGATCCATAGATGATATCCGTAAATATAAAAAATCTACAGAGTTAGATTTTTCTAAACTGTCGAAACCTGATTTGTATTGAGGGACTTCTGAGATGTTACCGTTTCAAGGTTTGAAAACTAATTTGAGGAATGTATAGTTAATGTTAAGGGTAAAGTACTAGGAGAAAAAATATATTTCTTTTTATATAATAAAATGAATATATAAAATTATTTTATATAAAAAAAAATAAACAAGTAAAAGTGAAACAATGAAATAATAGTTTTATAATGAGTGTGTCAAAGGACCAGAGTGAGTAATTTTATAGTGAGTTACCAGTCAGGTATTTTCATCTCTCACTATTTATAAAACAAAATTACATTCTCTTCGGTCCTATTTACTAATCAATTTTGCTAATATAGTTATTTCAAAAGATTTATCATAACATTTATCTCCTATCTAACATATGATCCCACACTTAATTTGGTTATTTTAGTCTCTTTGTTACAATTCCTTTAACGTTATAGTTATTTCAAAAGATTTCTCATAACATTTATCTCCCATCTAACATATGATCCCACACTTATTTTGGTTATTTTAGTTTCTTTGTTACAATTCCTTTAACATAACACTGATGCAAAAATGTATACTTAAAAACTTATTTTCCCCTACTAATGCTATTTAATTTAATTAATTTTGTAAACATGTTGTATTAATTTCTGCCTTTTATTTATTTTATTCACTATTACCTCTAAGTAAAAATTAAAATTAAAATTAAAATTAAAATGAAGAGTAGGCGTATAATTTGCTCTCTTCGCTGTTGTTGGAAACAAAATTTTAAGGTATCAATCATAATATACTTGAAATCAATTCTTTTATGAAATAATTGAAATATCAACAAGTGAATCCTGTGTATAATTTTGTTAAAAAAAATTCAGCATGCCATTATTTTCAATTTTCAACAAATCTTTCGACCCTATCGAAAAATTTCCGATCCAAAACATTTTAGAAAGATTGCTCCATAATAAGTAACTCTATTTTTTTTTCTGTCTTCTTTTAAGAGTTTTTATTTACTAAAGATATTGTAATTTAGTTAGTATATTTAATGTGTTGATAATAATATTCATAGAAATTATTACAAAAATAATTTGAAAATCATATTTATTTACTTAATAATGTGTGATGATATGAACAAATTAATATTATGTTAAAAAGAAAATGAAAGACATCCATAAATTAATCAAACAAAAATACTACATTAGTAATAATAAAGAATAAGTAACTGAATATGTAATTATTTTACATTACTGATAAATAGGTTTACATATGTTTTTTCTGTTTTTTTTTTTCAAGTTTTGTTAAGTTTAGTAGGTAGAGTTTTTTCTTTTTGTTAAATATATTGTTAAGAATTCAGCACCAACTTAATTATTTACTTATGATAAGTCAAGGAAAATCTAGAATATTCCGGAGTTATAGAGAATTGAAGGAAGATCTCTAGAAATGTTCTAGATAGGGTAGTTCTAGAATTAAGTAATTGGAGGAATATTCTAGAATAGAGTAGAAAAATATGCTTAGCTAGATTGTTTCATCATCTATAAATAGAGGTGATCCATTTGAGTTGTAAGCAGCCAAGCAAGAAACAAACTAAGCAACCAAGTAAGTAATAAAGTAAGAGAACAAACAAGTGTGAGTGCTCAAGTAAAAAGTGTTGCTGAAACAAGCAATAAGTGTGATCAAAATTGTAAGACCGAAACAGATCCTTACTTTGATATAATAAAATTCAAGTTGTGAGAAGTTGATTGTGCCTGCCGTCTCCACACAAACAATATCCAACATATATGAGAATAAAAAGACTCATTTTTAGTAAATAGTATATCAAAACTGCTCAAAAATATACTTAAGGGACACTTTCGAATCTATCCCCAAGTATAAGGGATATTTTTATTATTTTCTCACATTTTAGGTAAGATTTTACCCAAATTTTGTTAAAGTTGTCTTTTTTTTTGGTAAACAATGAGGCAAAATTAAGGGGGCATGTGTTCAGTAGAAAGAAAATATATTTCAATTTTCTCACGTTCAACTGACTAAATTATTTTGAAAAATAAGCTTCTTAAAAATGAGTAAAATGACTTTCCAAATTAAACATCTTTTTCACCCTCCAATATACTTCATCTCTCATCCCCCCCTCCCCCCCCCCCCCCCCCATTGCCTCATTACCACCACTTCATATATAGTGAGAGTGACACAAATCTCCTTATTTTCAAATAGGGAAAGCAAATTCTAATCATCAGATAAGACGAGATCATTAAAATACGAAACTGCCTAAAACTTATTTTAACTTAATAAACCTAAAACAAATCAATCCAAACTGACTCTAAAAAATCCACTTATTTTTCTAAAAACCATCTTTCAAAAAAAAAAATTCCTTCCTACTAAACACATCGTAACTAATTTTTATATAACAAAACAAAGAATAGTAATTTATAATGACGTATAGTCTCCACTGCCAGTCTGGGATTCTTAATGCTTATAGTAGGTAGGATTTTCAATTATTTCCATCTTCTAATATTTAAAAACAAATAAGAAAATAATATTATAATGCAATTTGGAGTCTAATTATTTTCTACACAAATATATGACCTGGCTAACCAAAATTACGAAGGATTCATTGCTTGTCTTCATGGTCAAATTTGAGGCAATCATCAACGTATAATTCTATATGGTAATTTTTTACTCATAGTCTATTTTTTATTTCAGATTTTAAAGATGTGCAAAATAAACTTTATTTAATTTACAAAAAATATGATATACCAACAAATTGAATAAATAAAAAAAAAAGCTACTCGTACATTCATACTTGTTAAATACATTGTGAATAATGTCTGAATAAGTGATTCCATATATTAATTAATTCATTCAGATTTTATTTATTTTGTGCATGTGGTGACAATGATAATTCTGTTGAGAATATTTTTAGAACTTTTTGTCAATAAATTGGACAAGTTCAATACATTAGTAAAGAATAATATTTTTGAACTTATAAGCTACATTTATGTTCTTAAGTTAAATCCAACAATAATATTTGCAGGAGGTTGAAAAGCCAAAAATTTCAAAGAAAAATGCAGAAGGAATTGGATGCAGTAATAAGAAAACTAAATGTGTTGGGAAAATGCTGAAGGAGATAAAAATGGAGATCTGCAGAAAGGGAGAGAGACCGAAGACACGGAAAATTAAATGCAAACTGGAAAAAACCGGTTAAAGAAGAAGGTATAAAATAGTCATATACAGTGACGGTGGATACTAGTTAATCTCGTAGTTTTTTTTTTTTTTTTTTTTTTTTTTTTACCGTGGTTTCCGGGCGTCGCTTTGCGAACCCGACTAGCTGTACCCACCGGGTCCCGCTGTTTCAAGGCGGGTCCACCACGGTTAGTTCCACGGGGCCCTGGAGACGCGGCCGGTTTGTAATGCCTCCAGTGGCCCTGCTGGGGCTCGAACCGGCGACCTGAAGGACTTTGTCCCAGGCCTTTACCAGCTGAGCTACCTCTCAGGGTTAGTTAATCTCGTAGTTTATACTGTAGTTTCGGCTATAGAAAGGATCATCACAAAAAAAAAACTAAGGAAAATACAAATATTACAAAACAGAAGAGTCATTCTACTAGGATTACAGAGCACCCAACATAAGAATACATAGCATCTATTCTCTTCAGCCAATTTTCTCTTCTTCTCATCGACTACTACGTACCCTCACTAACAATGCACAAATTGAAGATATATCCATAATCAATAGAATACAGTGGAAAAAATTAAAGCACTAGATAAAGAACATAACAATGAAATATAAAAAGTGATGTATAACTTGGTAAAATCAGTAAGGAGTGTAGTAGTACCCTCCAGCAGGTGGCACTCCAACGCCATTTACTGGTGGCATGCCATAAGGCATCCCAGCTGGTTGTGTACCATAGTATCCGCCGCTGCTGATCTTGGACAAACTCGTCTGTCCTTGCATCCCATTTCTAGCGTATTGCTGCCATACAATTTGCTCCTGTACAAGTAATTGCTGTTTCTTCTCCAAATCCGCCATTTGTACATACGAAGGAGGTGGGACAGTCAAAGATGCAGCAAATGGATCCAGTCCAACTGTCTGGACTGTTCCATCGGGTGCAGGGAGTGCTAAAACCGGTGTTGAACTCTTCCCTAGCCCAGGTAATGCCACACTGCTCGCACTACCACCACTTGACTGGGCAGTGGCAACATGTTGCCTAACCATCCCTTGATCATACATGCCATTCAACAGCAGCGGATCAAGTCCACCGCCCATTGCTGCCTTCTGCTGAGACAGATGACTAGCTGTCTCAACCAAAGCCAACTCCCAATCAGCCTTACCACTCTCAGCCGCTGGATTCTGCCAAGCAGAGGTCACCTCAGGTCCCCCATTTGAGGAGAATGCTTCCCATGATCCATTGTTTGTTCCAGGTCCTGCAAACAATGCCAACGCAAATTTGTTTCCTTGATCATCGGCAGTAACACCTTCCTCCCTTAAATCCATCAAATCCCCAGTCTCCTGGACCACCGCCGCTGGCTTAGGAGACTCTGGTTCAGGTGGTGGTGGTGGAGTATAATCCTCTGGTGGAGGCAATGCTTTAATCTCATTCATATCTGGTGCTGGTTCTTCTGGTGGAGCTGGCAGAGCCTCAACTTTCCTCTCGGGACTTTTTGTTGCCTTAGCCCTATCCCTCACAAACTCTTCTAGTGTATCCAATAGCTTGCTTGTTATCCTCTGAACTTCTGGATACTCGGACGACCTAGCAATACCAATATCCTTGCACCAGTTATAGAATCCCACCAGCTCATCGATCTGCTTTGATGCGCTAGCATATGCATCAAAGGCCTTAACACAATCCTCATACTCCATGTCAAAGAATTTATCCAACAAAATAGCTAAAACCTCACATATATCAGCATAAAGCTGAAAACTTTCTTTCACCATAGGATACAAAGTAACCAACACCATTCTTTCATTTTTCGCTAATCCAGTTGGTCGACAAGACAAAAACCGATCCAACAACCTCTGCAAATGACTCATCTTCCCAAAGATCCTCTCGGGTTCCATCTGCCGCAATGGGGTCACATCTTTCTGATCCTGTACTGTTGACTCCCTCACATCCCCAGATGATCTGGACTTCCTCATTCCATAAGCAGGCTCATCTCCGAACTCACCATAATCATAGCCTCTGTTGTTAGAGGCAGGTGGAGATCTCCATCTTTCTTCTCTAGACCCATATCTCTCAATCTCTCCACCACCCCCATTTTGCTTCCTCTCAAAAACCATCATCTCCAATCTTTGATCTAAATACAAAGCATAAGTTCTAACAAAGGCCGAATGATCCCATGAATTAGAATGAGCCTCATCGCGAAAATCAGACAAATTAAGAAGTCTAGTGCCTCTCCTGGTGGCATACATAATTTCTTGGTGAAAAACAGGATCACCATCATTGAGAAGACGGTGAATGAGCATCAAACACTTGATGGCAACGATCCAATCCCTGGTTTTACCTAACCTTTTAGAAATAGATGAAACACAAGCAGTGACATAGCCACGTGAATTAGAAGTCAAGTGAAGAATCTCCCGGATATACTTCTCGCTTGCAGGGTCATCATCATGGCTTGTCGCCTTAACAATAGCAACTTCCAGCTCCGGTGCCATATTACTCCCTACCTTCGCAATCCCTATGCTCGTCTGGTCCTTCACCGCCCCAATCGCCTTCCGAATCGTGCTCGGCGCCATGATACCCTTTTCAGATTTTTCTTTTTAAGACCAAAAATTCAAAGGTTACAACTTCAAATCATAATACACGAACAACTACAAAACTAAAGAAACAACAACTACGTAACTATATCGATCTAAATCCCAATATCATTGGGTTGAATTCTGACAATAAGAATACTCTATTATTAGTTGGAGTCCATATTTCACACAATTCAGGAAACCCAAGAAAAAAATTCAAATCTGTTGACTTGAAAATACTATACAAGTTTCTATATTTGCTCCATTAAATTCAAATACCAAAAATTACACCGGAACACAAAATATCTAGCGAAGACTTGAAATGATAAGTTTTTATATTTTCTCCATTAAATTAAAAAATTCTTAAACTTCACCCAGAACCAAAAGATGCAACAACTAGAAAATCAGCCGTAAAAATAATTTTAAAAAAATGGGTTGAAGTAGATACACACCAGAAGCAAGAAAACAAGGTCGGGAGATTGGAGAAAACACAATAAGAGAAGAGAAAATGGATTGCCGACAAATGGTGGCCTGAATTTTTCTCTCTAGATTTGATGCAAGAGGAGAGGGAGAAAATGGGAATATAGTTTTATTAAAGAGAGAGTGGAGAAAAGGAAAGTAGATCTATAAAACTGGAGGACAATATGGACCGTTGGATCAGAATCGTAGAGGAAAGAGTGTCGGAGCAACATAATAAGTTGTTCGAAAGAAAGACAGTGTGGTGCACATATAATATGCGATCAACACAAAATGGATAAGTGTTGTTTATTTTAGAGTTAAAGGTAATGTCTTAACACCCCCATTATCATGCTTTAGTATTTTCATATTTAATTCACGTTTGAACGTTGCTAATTAAATATTATTTATTTTAGAATTATTGAAATTGAAGTTGAATTTGCATTTGAATTGGGTCATATTTTTCGAAAAAATATTTAGAATTTAAATTTAAAAATTTAAAAAATATGATTTACACTCTCAATTTCTAAAAAGTAGCAAAATTCCTCAACTTGACTAATTTCACTAGTACAACATGCTCCAAGTCTCATGGTAGTGTCGCTAGTGCTCACACTTTTCTAGTTTGTAGGAAGTGTGGTAAGAACCACTTGAGGGAGTGTATGACTGGTGGTGGTAGTTGTTTCGATTGTGGCCAAGTCACAGATTGAGGGAGTGCCTAGTGGCCTCACTAAGGGGCAAGGATGTTCGTGAGAAGCCTCATAACAACCCTTCGGCAGCTCCAACAGGCACCCGACTCGGTAGGGTGCCTCATCTAGTGCAGGTGGCGGTCTTTCTAGAATAGGTTTGATGCTTTGTAGAACCGTCGGGATCGAGAAGATTCCCCTAATGATGTAGTCACTGGTATGTTACGTGTCTTTCAGCTTGTTGTTTATACAGTTCTAGATCCAGAAGTCACACTTTCCTTTGTGACTCTTTATATTGCAATAAATTTCTATGTCAGTCCCGACATCTTATCAGAGCCCTTCTTAGTCTCTACTCATGTTGGTGAGTCATTCTCAGATAAATAGGTATACAAAAATTTCCAAGTGTCAGTTTTCAAAAAGTCACCACATTTGATCTAACGGAGTTGGACATGCTAAATTTTAATATTATTCTTGGCATAAACTAGTTACACTCTTGTTATGCCTCAGTCGATTATAGAACCAGATTCGTTAAGTTTTATGTTAAAATGTCCCACATCGATAGAGGTATGATAATTTAGTCTCCTTATATGGACTTGGACAAACCTCCCCTCATGAGCTAACTTTTGGGGTTGAGTTAGGCCCATGTGCCATATCTTTACATGGTATCAGAGCCAGACTTATCCCAATTTGTTGTTCACCGATGATGGGCCCCCATTTAGAAGTGTTCATGCTCCAGTTGAGGTTTGGGCGTGCGGGGGAGTATTAAGATGTCCCACATCGGTAGAGGGATGAGAATTTGGTCTCCTTATATAAACTTGGACAAACCTCCCCTCATGAGCTAGCTTTTGGGGTTGAGTTAGGCCCATGTGCCATATCTTTACATTCTAGTTTCCCAATGAACCATTCATATAGTGAAAGTGTAGTACATCAATGTCTATAGGTCGGGTTTTCTCTTACCTTAAGGCTAGAAATATGATATCTAAGGGTTATATTTATCATTTAGTCTGAGTTAAGAATTACACGTCCGAAACCCCAGCCTTTCAATCAGTTTTAGTGGTAAATGAATTTCCAAAAGTGTTTTCCAAAGATCTTCCCGGAGTCTTTTCCTAAAGGGAAATTTATTTCGGAATAGACTTTGTTTTAGATACCTAACTGATCTCTCCATGAGGTGCTCTAGTTCTCTTCATGCGTAAAAATGATAGTTCTCACAAAATGTGTATTCATTACCGCCAGTTGCGCTAAGACACAATCAAGAATAAGTATCTCATTTCTAGAAACGATGGCTTGTTCGATCAGCTTCATGATACTAGAACTTTTCCAAGGATTGACATTAGATTAAGCTATCATGTCACGACCCAAAGTACACCCTAGACGTGACATGAAGAATAAGACCCTGAAAGATCCTAAACAACCCACTTGACATAAGCATGAGATAATGAAATACAATTTAAGGGATATAATCAAGATAAGTCTCACATCATAAAATGACATAAACTATACCAACATAGTACATAAGAGATACGCGATAAGCTACTAGGTCTAACACAAGTCTTTCTAACATCGTAAGAGTGGTTGGGATGTAACTCATACACCACGTACAAGTCTGAAATTAGAAAGAAAATAAAAGCAATAAAGTGTCTATGGTGTTGCCCTCGAACCATGAGGACTCACTAATCCAAATGATCAAGATGAACAATTTCGATGTAAGCACATCCAAGGGGAGGAATGCCATACCCTATATTATAAGACAATATAGGCAGAAGTATACATTAGTACATTCAATGTACTAAGTATGGGGAAATGCATAAAAATATAGTCATATGCATGATAATCTAAAGAACTTTAAACATGATAAGCATGACCAAGTAAAACACAGTAAGAGCCTTTAAAAGAAACCATGAATCATAATCAAGGTTGATCTTAGGCGTATTTATATGCCTAGAAATCTAATGATGTCCGTATTTAAGCCAAGTTTGAAATCAATTTGTGTTTGTTTATAGTCTTATCGAGTCTTTTGGTTGTATATGAGCTAACCAACATGATTAGTTGTGTAGGTAAGGTTAAATGGATAAAAAAGCACTGAAATGGGCATCGGGAATCACAAGTGAAAAGAAGCAAGAAAGAAGAATAAGAAAATGAACAAGTTACATATGTATCATCTCTGTGTCGCGGAGAGGAATGTCATTCCTGGGTGCAGATTAAAATTTGGGACAGAACTCTCCGTGTCCTCTTCGTGTCGCGGAGAGGAAATGTTGATTTTGTGCGAGATTCATCATTTGAACCAGAATGGTTCGTGTAGCAGCCGCGTCGCGGAGAAGAGCAAAAATGTTCAAGTGGAAGTTTAAAGACCCCTCTGCGTCGTGCCCCTGTGTGCCAGAGTTGGCCGTTTCGACTTTAGTATAAATAGGCTTATATTTTATTTTATTAAAACATTCTTTTTTTGGGTTTTGAAGAACAATGACTTGGAGAGCTATTTCATCATTTTTTAGGGTTCTTTCCTAAACTCTTTTACTTTTGATCTCTTTATGATAATTAAACATTGCTTGATCAAAATTATTGTTAGGAGTAGCTAAATACCTTAGTTCTAGGGCTGTGGCTACATGATGATTGTAATCTATTGAGTTTTCATTGAGTTAATATTGATTATTATATGAATCTTTCTTATGTTCTTATTTTTCGTATTTCGTGCCTGATCACCATTGAAATAAATACATTGTCCGGATTGAACTCAAGAGAGGAATAAGAAGATAGAACGTGGGGCATAAGGAGCATGATTTTCTCTTAATAATTAGAGTTAATTTGTATCTAGGATAGGGATATACCTAGAAACCATGCTTGGTCACTATACAGGAAGAAATCATAATGCTCGGTACTTGGTCCAACCAATCCCCGCTCAATGATGTAGTTAGGTTGTCATTTATCGTATGCGATTAGAGGTCGAGAGACCATGATCATACATTTAACCCTGTGATCATTGATTCGATAGTTGATAAACACCCATTTAAATAACATAAATTGCATGAATCCTGATAAGAGCTACAACCCTTGACTTTACCCAATCATTGTTTGAAACCCTTGAAATTGAATCGCGCTTGTTTAGTTTTGGTTAACTTTTAGATTATAGAATAAATCACTTTGGAAATATTGATAACACTTGTGTTTAGCTTAAAGTATTGGAACAATCAAGTTATTCTAATCGTAAGTCTCTGTGGGTACGATACCTGACTCTTTAAAAGAGCCACTTTAATACTTGAACGACCACGTACACTTGCGTGTGTTATTTGGGCGCAACAAGTTTTTGGCGCCGCTGTTGGGGACTTTAGAATTATGAAGTATTTGATTTTTCTGATTTCTAAAGTTAAAAAGCAAGTGTAGACAACTTGATCTTAGCAATTCATTTTGTAGGTTGTGTTGAGAGTCCAAACTGGACGACGATCAAGGATTGGTAGAGCCTCTAGCTGAACCGAAAAGATTTGTTCACCACTGGAGAAGGCAGAGAAGACTCACTTACCCAGTCCCTCTTGTTGCTAGTGAACCAACATCTCCAGTAGCAAGAGTTGAGCAAGAGGAACCTGCAGTAATGGCTGATATGAAAGTAAGAGATGTGGCAATCCCACGTACCACCAATGTGACTTCATGCATTTAGAAACCCGAAGCTGGTGAAAGGTTTGAACTGAAGCAGAGTATGGTGCAACTATTGCACACTAATGGGCAGTTCACTGGTCTATCGCACGAGGATCCAACAGTCTATATACATAATTTCCTCGAGATCAGTGATACTTACACTCTAGTTGGAGTGAATGTGGATTATGTGAGGCTCACTCTATTCCCCTTTTCTCTGCTTGGGGAAGCAAAAAGATGGCTAAATTTTGAGCCCGCTAACTCTATTACCTCTT